AAAAGAAGAGGAGCAGCTAAAAAGTCCTCCGTAGTACATTTTGCTCGTAGTTTCAGCAGGCATGACGGGGTATCATGGTGCGCTGTGATTTATAAAGTTTTGCAATTTTGCAAAATCTTGGTCCAGGGGGTTACGGTGCGCTTATTACGAATATGGTACTCATTTTTCACCATGGGATCTAAGCAGCCTACGGTAGTTTTACAACAGATAGGAGAAAATTACAAAACCGGCCAAAACTAAGGCCGGTGGTGTTACTCGGAACGCTGATCACGAATTTGGCGTGCAATTTATACTGTGGCGACCAGTAAAATTGAGAAAACCACAAAACGGATCGAAACTTCGACCGTTGGAGTTATTCGAGGCGCTGATCACGGACAGTCTATATGCTCCTACACTTGTGTCATTTTGAGCGATTACGGCAAGTACACTGTAAGTGGGTTAAGAGCAGTTTTGTGCGGAGAGTTCAATTTTGCGCAGGCTCTGATAGTCCATTCTAACAATTGCATATACCATCCGCTCTCTCTATTGTTTGAAGCTTTCAGCTACGCAAAAGCTTAATCCGTGCGAAACCACCACTTCTCGACAGAAATGAAATGAGTGAGACTTCGATATAACATGTTTTGACTTTCTTCGTGTTGATGCAATGAGATTTTGAAGGGTGTGTCATGGCATAGCGGTCTAGTGATGGGATCTTACTCTAGACCGAACAGGTAGTATATACGATTACCAACTTAACTTGCTTTTGCAGCAAAGTGTGCGTAACAGCTCCTCAATCAAAACCCCGTGCTTGGGAGTTGGAAGTCGGGACTTTGAAAGCGGAACTCAGAGTTTCAATAAGCATATCTCTGAATTACAAAAACGAAACGCAGAGTTGTCTCTGAGTTAACGCGGAGCTTTAAACTCGGAATTTCGACTAGATCACTACCGACCTTGATATTTCCCGATGCTAATTTAGTCGTAAAAGCAATCCTGTTACAAACTAAATTTGCCTTAGCATGGTCACGTATAAGCATCGAGTGTGAGGGATTTGACACCAAAGCAGAGAGCTCCGTTTGGTTTTTTGAAACATTGAGATTTGTACTAGGCGACCATAATAGATAAGTTAAAGTGATGGACTAGGAAAGTAAGTCGTCATTGACCAGTAGCGCACCGGGCTGCCCATTTACCTCTCCTTTCATTCAGGATGTAAAAGCTCCATCAAGATACTCCAGTGAACAAACATAAAGCCGGAAATAGCTTGTCAATTATCCACCAAAACAACGTTTCTACCTTCATGTTTTGACTGCCTTTCAATCTGTCATATTCATACATCTTTCCTTCTGCCTCTGTCAGCTTCAACAAAAATATGAGGGTATCTCATGATTTTTTTACCGTTTTTACTAGAACCGTCGTCTTCTATCTTTCCTTCGACTAGTGCGGCCTGAGTCGTTCGACAGAGCAAAGCAAATTGGCTATCAATAGTCTGCTTAATTCGTATTCCAAGCAAAGATTTAAGTTGAAATATGATGGCAGTCAAATACGAACTACTGTAAATGTGTCTCAGCCCCAAAAAATCTTCAAAATTCCCCATTTGTCCTACATATGCTTGACACATCGAACATCCAATTGGACATTCCGCATTTTCCTTGGCTAGAAATAAAGAAAGAAATTAATGGAGTAAATTGGCAAACTCCGCCCCTAGAAGTTCTGAGCTCCTTCCACACACGTTATCATATAGCTCGTACATACAGAAGTACGACCGTGTATTAGTACCCTTTGTAGTTGCCCCGGTTCTCGAGAAATGCTGATTAGGGTAAGAACGACGGACAATTATGAGACACTCCTAAGCAGGGCTCAGCAGAGGTGGCGCTTTCACATGCTGGATATCGTTTTCTTGGGGAAGCAAAAGGGAAAACGTAAAGTCCTAAGGGGGATTCCCGGATTAGATAAAATAGCACAATTCTTACAGATAGTAAGCCCGGATTTGAGGCTTCAACCTCATTCAACCACTAACAGGTCAATCAACATGTTACAAACAGGAAGTGACCAACTTGTGTTCACATGATTCCCAACGTGTTTAAACATGATCTTTGTGCACAAAAAGATAAACAATTAGTTTGTTTACAACGAATAAGCGATATTGAGCCATGAAATTTGGTATATAGCTTCGCGACGATGAAGAAAAGATAATTATGAAAAATTATGAAAAACTTATGTGATGAAGGGAATTGTAAGTGTTTTTCTATTTTAGGTTGCTCCCGCGCAACCTGGGAGCACCCTGAGGGTGCGCGAGAACAGACAAAGTCATAATTTACCCACTTTGTCACATAAATTTTTGGATATTTTTACATAAATTTGATTTTCAGTTTAGGCTCTATGTACAAGTATTCACTTTAACACAAGTTTCAACCCCTTTGCTTTGCCACGACTCTTGACGACATAAAAATCTTCTTCTTGTCTTCTCTTGATTTATCCCCGATTTTCTGGTTTTTTTCTCATTTGTATTCACTCATCGTTCGTCGCAGATTATAAGTCGTATTCCACAAATCCACAAAAGTTACTCGTAAACTTCTGCGTTGTCAAAGGGGACTCCGTTCCCGAGATTCCCAAATGCCACCTCGTGCTGGGCCCTGCTCCTAAGAGCTATTTTTACATTCAAGCAAACCCTCGCGTTGCTAACGGCTCTCAGACATCTTCTTAAAAACAAAAAATAAAATAAAATAAGTTTTAGGATTAAACCTCGATAACACGGCTTGCATGATTATTGCCTAGTATTTGATAATTTTCGATATCTATTTAGGGAAGTTTTGACTAGGTTTATTGCGCCGTAAATTGTCTCTGATGAATACAGTAATGAAATGTCAAACAAGTTGGACTAGCAATAATATCGAAATTATGTTTTCTTCGGTGTTGAATAGCACAACAACTGCTGCACCAGTTGTAAATGGTACATCGAAGTCTTTAGACAGCGAAAACACATGATTTACAGATTTACACATGATTTAGTTCTTTGAAAGAATAAGGATTCCTTTGGTTAATCTCGTCTAATAATATCATAGCAACCAAAACAATAGATAATAAACATCCTATCAACAGGAGGAATGAATCAGCTAGCATTTACCCGCGGGCTCGCTGACAGCTAAATAACAAGGTCATCATAATTTTAGATTAAGCAAGATTCAGATTGTACAAGTTCCGGTTTGTGTGATTACTTTCCTGAAGCTTCGCTGCCTCTTTCAGAGGATGCCCGCGTTTTCATTTTGGTCTAAAACTTTCACCTTTTTCTAATTTCCTATTATTCAACTCCTTACGACTAAAATTGGCTGTTTCTTCCTGTGTTCATAGTTCTTTGCCTTTTCTAATTTATGCACTGCTCGAGTGCATCACAAATAAAAACAAAAAATTAGTAAATCCAGCTTCAAAGACGTACCAAAGCGCTATGCGCCACTAGTCTCTCCTCAGGTCCCTAAAAAATGGCCTTGCACCCAAAATACCTAAAATGTGTGTTTTCCTCAAAACGAAAGCGAGGGCTCGAGGAGGAGAGTCTGCAAGATGGATGCCCATTAGAGAAAGCTCATAACTTTGTTGATAGAACTTTTGAGACTTCGTAATGCCAGCAGTCAGGTTAGCACTTGTGACGACACAGAGCATGTAGGTACATGCCGAAGGCATGAGTATTCTAAACTAAGAGCTTCTATCAGAGGCATATACTTGAGAAGTTGGCCTCACTAATGAATAGCGAGCAAAGTAATAAATTATGTTGCAACGTAAACTTGTGCGATCAATTGACATAAGACCACAATTTCCCATGTAACCCGCAAACAAGGTCATTTTGAGATGTCACGGTGACAAACGAGAAGTACCACAATTTTAATCTTTTATTCTCCTTTTTTATACAGCTTTTAAAATCTGGCGCAAAATGTTTCCAATTTAGATTTCGAGGGGCTTTTTTATTGTGCTCCTCAAACACGGAAATCACCAGCACAAATTAGGTTTTGCGATTGTTTCTTTACTTTTTATCAAATTGACACATGCCCAATCAATGTAGATTTCACATTTTCCATAGAAAACTTTGTACAACACCTATAAACCCTTTTCCCTAGGTCTCCTACTTGGGCTTGTGTCGTAAAAGTGAGTTCATTATCAAAATATGTGTCTTGGAAGAAGAGAGATTCAGTTTCATTTTTTTTTTCGAGAAATTCACCCCAACAATTTTACCCAAAAGAAGAGCTCCAAAATTTTTGTAGAATTTATCTAGTACTTTACAAGAGCGCAAAAATTTTGAAAACCTGCACAATGTAGGAGAGTTGTGCTATGAATGCCCATCAAAACAAGACTGCCACAAATCTTTAGCCTATAGGGCCAAATTACCATACTTCGTAGCGAGTAGAGGGAACGTGGCTTTCCACGACAGAACTCACCTTCATTCGTTACCCAGTCTAGATGGAAATTTGCAAGTTTCAGAAGAATAGCGTGGAAACTCACTTAGTGATCCTACGTATACGCGCATTTTTATTTGGCACTGCAATGCTTTAATCTTAGCAACAGTTGGCCAGATCACTGTCAAAAATTTGGAAACAATGATAAACACCAAAGAGATAAGCTCTTAATGAATCTAGAGCATTAACTTTTGTGTTAGAAAGTCTTACAATTCGAACTTACTAGAATAGAATTCGGTAAATTCGGAATTTTTCTTGAACCATTCTGAATCTGGAAAGGCTCATTCTTTGCATTTTATTGTGCAAAAGAAGTTTTTCTGTTACCATCGTCGTAATAAACGGAATACATGAATCAGCAAAATTTTGCGTGAGTACATCATTTCAATCTAGCTTTCCAGGTTTACTATTCACTCTAGAGCTAATGCACCTAAAGAAAGTAGTCAATGCCTTATGAAAGCTGCGTGCGAATCAGACTACGTAAAGAATGACTTACTTTTGGAATTTTAACGGATGGATGTGTCAAACGTACTTAAGGCGACGATTTATTACCATTTCATAGGAACAAGCACATTATTTAGAATTTTAATTTTTCCTCAGCTTCATTCTATGCCTCCTTGCCGATTTTCTTCCATAACCCATGGCTGCTCTGCTCATCGATACTGGATACACCGTCTGTGGACCCATCCGGGAACGAGCAGTATAATATGACACTTGCTGAGGAGCAAATGGAGGAGCAGGACCAGGATAAGATGAAGTTGGAGCTATAGCTGACGGAGGAGCCATGGCTGGTGGTGAACCTACGGCTGGAACTCTACCCGCATGATACGATGATGGTGGAGGAGCCATGGGTGGTGGGGCAGCCATGGATGGAGGGGGTGCCATGGCTGGCGCAGAAACGACAGTTGGAGCACTAACAGGATGTGGCTTCATCGGAGGAGCAACAGCCGCAGCACCACTGGGAGAGTACGCCCCCATTTCTGAAGAAATAACAGAAGCACGAACAGGACAAGGACAATAGTGTGCGTCCTTGCCCGGAGCGCCAATCATTCCTGGTGCACCTGGGCGGCCGTCGGGTCCTTTCATTCCTGGTAAACCAGCTTGACCGGAGGGACCGGTAGGACCAGGTGCTCCAGGCATACCGGGTCTCCCAACAGTGCCAGGTTTGCCCTGCATACCGGGAGGACCTCGAGGCCCAGCTGGTCCAGGTAGTCCTTTACCTCGTCTTCCATCTTGGCCTTTTGCACCAGGTCTTCCTTCAGGCCCACGTTCACCACTGGGTCCTGCATCTCCAGGAGGACCTGGAGGACCACGCATACCGTTGTTGCCCTTTGGTCCGGGTTGGCCAGGTCGACCCATTTGTCCAGGCATTCCTTGTGCTCCCGGTGGTCCTGGTGGTCCTGCAGGTCCTGGAGGACATTTGATACATGAGGGATCTGGAGGAGGGCATTGGATTGGTGCGTAAACTGTCGTATCGTCCCTTCCTTTCGGACCGGGCATTCCAGGAATTCCTAAAAATGGTTAGTATGCCACAGCAGTTGAATGCAATCCACTAACCTGGCTGCCCTGGAGGTCCTGGGGGTCCGGGTGGTCCAGGCGGACAAGTAGGTGGTGTCAGTTCACAAACGCACCATTCCGGAAGCGACTGTCTTCTTCGTCGGAATATCGAGTTGAAGGGATTCTCAAGGTGCTTTGTTTTTGACGAAAACATTAGCCGCACATCCATAATCTCGGCCCAAGCTGAGTCTGTTTCTGTGCGAAACATCGCTACGCCGTCCATAACCTGAATGAGCTTGAAGAGCATCACAATTAGATGTGCATGTAACACTCACCATATCATGAACCTTGTGGATTTCCTTATACAGTGCAGGGTAAATGATCCCACAAGCAATCATAGCCAGAACAGCAGCTATACACGAAGCGGCCACTAAACATTTTTCCACACCCATTGTTGAATGGAGTCCTAAGTGTGCATGCTTACTCTAACTCGTACTCCTTTTATAGCAACCTTTCGAGTCAACTAGTTCACGAAGAAAGTCAGGCTTCTTCAAACTTTTAAAAAAGATAACGTCTTTCAGAATGCCCTCTGAAATGTAGTGAGTGCCATTACCAACTAAGAATAGTCCTTATTATCTTATGTTAGACCATTAGTGAGGAATTTTTTTCACTATAATAATAATGCTTACACAAGTACACAAGCCGAATACTGATTTTCTGGACAATATGCTTAGTGATTAAGCCTACTTTTGTTATCCCGTTTGGAACTTGGCCAAGAACGTCAGCTAAAACACTTCTAGCCTCCCTCTTGCAGTACTTAGGACATGCAAGCTTCGCCGTTCTAGTACAGAGCTTTTTCGCGTTCTCAACCAATTGTACATCTACTTTTATTCCTATGCCACTCATTTGAAACGCTGAACGAGGTCAAATGTGAGGATAATTGCTTTATCTCATTCTTTTTAGCTACTCATTTCAATGCTTATTTCTTGACATGCTGCCTTTTTATGCACGGATTGCGGCGCAAATCACATAGAAAAGCATCTTTCTTTGGTAAAATCACTCTTTAGCGGGAAAAAAGCTGGGATTGCCATGGAGCCTCCCACATATAAAATTTGGAAAATACTCAATAAATTGTTAAGGCGAGCCATACTCAGTTTTCAAGAACAAAAATAGTGTTAATGTCTCTCATAAAACCAGACCACTGCTCTTTTTCCGCCTTGTTTGTTTCCAAAGTGTAATGAGTCGCTTCATAATTGAACTCCATTGTTCCTCAGTAAATTATTGGAGTCGTAAGGTACTTAGTCGACACGATGCACTTGCAAAAACATCATCAAAGGCCAATGGCTGAGTATATGAAAGGAAAGCCTCTAATCGAAAAAATTCTTTTGTTTGACAAACACTAGACATTGTTTTCTGCAACTATTAATGCACTACATGTTTCCATTTTACTTTTTAGGGTTTGTGCGGTCGTTCCTGATTGTGGCACTCATCTTGTTGGGCGCTATTTGATTTTAGTGTGGCACATTACATCCATGAAAATTCAAAAGTCTTCTCACCTTGCATCTCGTTACAAGATTAGCTCCGGAAAATTGCATATGGTCATTAAAATATTGTATGTTCGAGAAAATCGTCTTGTTAGCGTCCACAGGATCAGAATAGATACATGGATCCAAAAAAAACCAAGAGATATTTTAAAATAGTCGCTTCGCAAGGCGCCACCATGATAACGTCATTGGGTCGCTCAGCGTACACATATGTTTCTTGTAATTCCCATTTTTTAATTTTTTTGCCGCAGTCTTTACGAGATTCCTTCTACCAGCAAGAAATCTGCTTTGCATCGCATCTTTTCCGGAACTCCAAAATGGACCAAAACTAGCTTTGATGGATAGTGCGACGGCAGTATTATTCGGGTATTTCTCGATAAACTCAACTCTTTTAGCATGGATTCCCAATCCCGATTGCTACTGGAATTACCGCCTCACTAGCCGTTCCAAACGATGTTCAAGTTTAGTTTTCAGTCAAGGCGTGATTGCGGAGTCAAAAAATGATGGGCACTCGAAAATTAGCATTGTGAAATTTCCAAACTATTAGGCATTTGAAATGCTAACAATTCGCTTCAGAAAAGTTTTTCAAATTTGTAGTTTTGATGTCGCATTGTTGCTAGACGGCGGGTTAAATTTCATGATGATTTGATAATTTTTTGTAAGTTTAGATTACACATATCATTTGACTACACTCTAGCAGGTAAATATATGGGATAAAATATCAAGAGAGTTGTTCTCTGAAACCAAAGCAACACTTTCTGGCTATACATGTGATGCAAAATAAACAAGCATACGCTTTCAAGCATAGAAAATAATGCTGCGCACGAAGAATTTCGAGAGCAGCGCATAGCCAGGTATCTCGGGGAAGACATAAGTTGGATCAGGTTGGTTGTGCACGACGGTATAGCATTCCATCCCATATTTGAATATATACGTTGCAACCGGGTATGTCGCTTCTTCTTCGCAGTACTCGGAAAGTACGAATCCTCTGCATAATTCTCCAGAACCGATAACGTAGCAAACTGGAAATGTGTACGAACATATGGGAAGGGCTTTCATGAATTGTACCTGTCGGTTTAGTCCTGTATAAGCAAAGCATAGTCGGCTTGCAGAAATGTGGCTGATCTTGATAATAAATGAACCTGAACGTATGCTCATTGCATATATCTGCGACTGAAAATGCAAGTACTAACGAATAGCTCGAGTTGACTCCAGTAAGATTTTTCATAACGGGATTAGCCTGAATGGGTCTAATCTGGAACACCGGCGGTCTAGCTCGTGGAGCCGTTGTAGTAGTTCGTGCGCCAAGTGCTGTCGCGGTGGTAGGTCTATCCACATTTAAACTTATAGGGCTACATATCGGCATTACCGAACCACGCTCGAAAGCGTAGACATTTGTTCCCTTTATTTGCCATTCTGCACCTTCCATGAAAATCGTGCACATTCTCTGGAATGATATACAGCTATTACTTATCCATAAAACTTTTTGGGAAAAGTCTTCACATTGCCACGATAAGATTGCTTTTGATATAACTCTGAGGACTGCAGAACTATGATTGCCAGAGATTTTGTTACTTTTTGATTCTTATTGTCTCCCGTTTGCACTATAGCAAAGCACCGATTATCACAAGCTTATTTGAGCTTTTGCAAAGTCTGGGAAGGATGTATGGCTTAACTTCTCGTGCTTGATGAAGCTGCAATCCATGTCGTCGTAACAAAGCTCAAAGCACTGCTGTTTGTTGGTATTGTTCCAAAACTCTTTGATAGTTGCCGCAAATTTTGTTTCCACTTCTCTAAACGTACATGCAAAGACGAAATTGGCCTGGAAAGGACTAGTTGAGTAATGTGATCTGCCCTGTATCTAACAAAAAGACGGCTTACTTTAATGGCAAGGATTACTAGGAGCGGCCACATCATTCTTGAAACTAACCGTGCCCCGACGGGCGGTACTTTCATGGATGGCATCCAAGCGATGTTGCTGCGTATACATATCAACCTTTTTGTTGAAACATAAAACTCAATGACTCCTAAGTATTGAGTAAATAAATTTTATTTCATGTTGTGTTGCTAGGAGTACACGAAAGTTTTTACAGAAACATGAAGGTTAGCTTTATTGGCTGAACTCTGCCAATCCAGAGAATGCGTTCTCATCGCGCTACCGTAGCAGTGTGCTAGTGTACAGAATGCTATTGGAGGGCTTGAAAATGTCCCATTATTACAAAAGAGATATGTCATCGTTGTTACCTGATATACAATACCGCTTGTATTATTTGAAAAAAAAAAGAGGCACAGTGGCCCGATTTAGTGACATCACCGTAGCGTGGACATATGTTGCTTCAGAGTGGACGAATTTTGATCCAAGAGCACCACTTGACTCATCTCAGCGCGGAGCATCTTCTACATAATACATAGAAGTGCTCGTCTGGACACAGTAGGAGGCTAGATTCCACAAATCGTTTCAGATCTTTGCTTACGATAGGTTGCCCGAAGGGTTCAATTTAAAAGCACACTTTTGAACGATTCGTAAAATCTGGTCTCCTACTGTGTCCAAGCAGGCATTTCTATATATTAGAACATGCGCGGCGCTGAGCTGAGTCGAACGGTGACCTCGGACTAAGAACTCGTTCATTCTGAAGAGAAATATGGCCACGCTGCGGTGATGTCATATGAATCGGGCGACTGTGCGTCGTTTTTTTACAAAATACGAGCGGTATTGTACAAGCCACATGGTCTTGCAAATAATCGTTGGAGAAATATACAAGTACCAAACCCCATTGCTCAAAATTCATGCCATCGAAGCCGAACTGTTAGAAACTAAGATTTTCTTACAGCTTCTGCCCAATATACTTCGTCAAGCACAGGGAATTTAGAATGTTTGTGTGAGGTGTGCTTCTGCTTCACCGAGAAAAGCCCAAAGCGCCCAAAATAACCCAAAAGAGCCCAGAAAAGCCCGAAAAAGCCCAGAAAGCCCAAAAGCGCCAAAAAGAGCCGGGACGCCCCCCCCCCCCTTGCGCGCAAGTTTTGCCGCTAGGGCAGCATGTATGTTGCTTTCGCAACCAAGTCATTACACTTTCTGTCCTCTGCATCAAATAATGTCAGAATTTTACCAGAAGTTCCAGGGCTGTTGCGGCTCTTTCTCGCGCTTTTGGGCTTTTTTCGTCGAAGTATGACGGGTTGTCTGCTTGGAATGAATAAGAACTGACTTTGAGGATATCTTCTCTGTATTTGAACTCAGACGCTAATTGACGACTGTTAGATGAAAAACATACAGCGAAGGGAAGAGCCCAAGGTTTAGGTCAAGGCAGTAGACTAGTCCTTCTCAGGCGGCGCACCAATCAGCTTATATCGCTTTTTCTTACCAAGTGCAAAAGGGCTTTTAAAAGCACTGAGACATCATTGTATATGAAAATGACCGGGGATCCGAAACTGATGGAAGGCCAGCTGATCTGGTACAGTAATGTATGACCTCCTCGTTAAATTGAAATTGCCATTTTGTATTTCAACAAATCTGGCTATATTATTGCAAATAGAATGCTGTCCTGATATTATCAGCTCAAGACATCTGGTAAGGTATAGAAATGAGTAGTGAAGGGGTGAAGAGCACTAATGCGCTATGAATAATTCATCATATGGCGACTAAGGATAGGTCCATTTCTCTACCATTCTTGCACCAGTTTTTTTTCGAAAGTTTATATTTGCAAGTTTTCTGCAGGTTAGTATTGAATAGCTGAAGTACATCGCCGAGTTCTTATATTAGCTTAGTTGTTTGTCGCATTGCACAAAACTGAATCAAACGCTTTTCTCAAAGATCCAGAGCAGTTGAACTTGATTGAGTGCCCATGCTTTACAAGAACAATCACTTTTCATACCAAAGTGTTGACCTGTTTTTATGTAAATATTTGATATTAGCCAAGAAATCTGATTAATCAGAGACATAACGTGCGGTATAATTTTCGATTTTGCAAAAACTGTGCTTACTGAACTTCTGTGGGCGACGCCGTCAAAATAGTCTTCAATAAGGAGCAGAAAGCAACAGTATTATGCTTGCCATATATTTTAACTACCAGGCCGATTTATCGAGTAGCAAAACTTCAAAGCTACGAACTCCGTCCATCATATGCGAACGTTAATAACATATCGCACTAGACCAGCGCAAGGATGGTCACATTACTGCAGGCAGTCAACTTCACAATTTCCAGTGAAGCATGGTTCAAGGATTATTCAACATGCCGATCAAGAGAATGATGCCCGTTACATACAAGATACTATGCGACTTTAGAACATTCGCGACATTATGACCCACCACTGAATGCGCATCTCAAACATTACAATATTAAGTGAAACTGCGTAAGATTTGGTATATGTTTTGAGATATCTAACTGGAGCTCTGATGAAGACTGCCGTTCAAATCATACAAGCTGTCAGTATGAAAGAAAAGGTTAGCACCAAGGGGCCGCATGTCTGAAAATGCGGAATCGACAAAACGACCTACTTATGAAGTGGTAAGCGAATATAATGTGATGAAAAATTTAGAATTTGTTGACCCATAAAAAGGGTGTAAGTGTGTTTGCAAGTAACATATCCTTCGTCATAATACTGCTTCATCTAAGGTACATAAACTAACATACAGAGTCTTAGAGGTGAAGCGGTTAAGTAACTGGTAAAATCGCATTATCGTAACGCATGGTCATAATAATTTCGCACATCAAAGGCCGACTGGAGATGTTTTGAAGGCAGCGTCCAGGCAAATCTGGTATGGGGCTCTTACATGGATAGTAATATTGGGGTCCTAACTGAGCCACTGCCCAAGCGGCAGCTCAGGTAATGCACTAGCGGCTGAGATATCCCCCTCGAAACTGAACCCCGTGATCGTATTCGCATGAATTCATGGCGCAAACCATGGGTTCTCGCGCGAAACTGCCATGCTCGCATGGATTCATAGCGCAACCCATGGGTTCTCGTGCGAAACTGCCACGCTCCCATGCGAATACGATCACGGGGTCCAGTTCTGGGTGGAATATCTCAGCCGTCAGAGCACTACCTGAGCTGCCGTTCGGGCAGTGACTTAGCTAGGGCCCCAAGATTACTACCCACGTTAGAGCCCCATATGTCCAGATTTGCCTGGACGCTGCCTTTAACGGTTTCTAATAGATTGAGTCCTTTGAGCACCCTTCGTAACCACTAATTGTATGAGCACATATGCGCATTATTTTGGAATCAAGAAAGCTCGATTTGCTAGCGGTTATCCTGGATACCGTGGAGGGCTGAGATGTTTTTTTTTTGGGGCGGGAAAGCTGCAGATATTTTTTTGAATGGAGGCGTAGTCAACCTATCGAAAAATTCTCTCAAAAGGTATTCAAAAGGCTTGTATCCCTACAAGCTCAGCCATGCCCGAAAAAAAATTTTTTTTTGAATTTCTATTTTTCAATAATATCAAAATGATTGATTTGATAAAACGAGTCTTGCACACTTTTATGAAACGTGTAGGCCCTTTTCGCAAACTTAGTGACCCATTCTTTCTTAGAGCAACCCATTCTTTCTTAGTGGTATGAGAGCTGCAACAGTGAATCGAGTTTTTCAGAAGTAAGAGGCAAAGAATTGAACAAGTATGATATTATGTATATTTATGCTATACAAAATGACTGTATTTGATTGAGACTGATAGACGGCAGTCGGCAACAGTGAGAGAATTTTTTGATCTACTTGATCTACCCGTGCAGGAAATTTGGTCGATCAACCATTGTACGTGATGCTCATTTCTATGAAGGTATTACTCCCGGTAGTTCCTATCATTAATCAGTAGTTTTTTCCTTCTCTGAATGAGTCGCGGATATGTGATGAAAAACAATTTACAATAAAAAAAACTCGTGTTGTTTTATTATTATGCTGCTGGGTCGTGTTGAGTTTCTACTTTCCTTTTGTCTGCGTCACCATCTCTCTTGGTTTTTTTAGCCGTATAAACGTTTAACAAAGAACTGAGCAGATAGTCACATTATTCACAGTTGTCTTCTGCTCAGACATTTCAGCAGCTCTTCGGTGATTGGGTTTCAATGATTTAACAGGTTTTTTTTGAGCAAGACTTTCAATCAGCTATATTTCTGAAAAGTAAACTTTGGCTAAAAAATGCCATTTTTTATTCAAATATGCAGAAATTAATACATGGACCACGTGGCTAGACTTTTACAAACCGTATCTAAGATTATTATTTAATGTCTCAGCTTTGGATAGGATTATTGCCTTTCTCCCGAACATGTGCTGAATGTCATATATTCGCAATAATTCTATCATAATCTAAGGTTCAATTATGAACCAAATCAGCTTGACCCATACAAACTTTTGGTGTAGTGGATAGAAGAGTTCAGATGAGTATTTATGAGTACCGCTGCATCTTTTAACAAGTAACTGAAAATATGCAAGTTCTCAAGATATGTTTGTGATTGTTTAGAGGTGTTTCCTAGAATGATTTAGACACAGAGTTTATTTATATGAGCTACTCATCTTCTCACTTTGAGATTCAACAGTTCGATTCACTCTTTTTTTTTTGCAAGTCATTCAAGAGGATGGAAGATGCTCTCATAAATTTCCGCAGGGATTAGATCTATGCTATCTTAACACATTCCACAATATGTATAATTCTTCATTCTCTTTCTATTCTACTGGTAGCGATATCCTGCCTTGATATCTTCTTCACTTACCGATGAAAACGCCTCGTAATTCGAATCCAGCATGTTTTTGGATGGCATCAAATAGCCAGCGGCATCACACATCTCAATATATTACGTGGTTTCAACAACCATGTACCCCTATTTTGCAGCCTTTCATTAAGATTTCATAAGCGGTTTTTTGGATTATACTCTTTTGCGCATGGTGACAGCAGAATGCACTGAATTGTACGCTTTCACTCAGTTCGAGCAAAAAAGTCATGCTGGGTAGAAAAAGGATGATGAGCTCAAAAGAATGATTAGCTTTGTTTTTTGGAAACCATAATTAAGCTATCCTTGATCCTCGAGTCTTTGCGCGCCCCAGCTGTCCAACAACAGTTTTGATATTCCCTTTGTCCTCCCCCCCCCCTTTTGTATTAGACCATTAAAGCTGGTCCAAGTGATAGGCACCAAATTCAAATAAAACAAACCTTTCCGTTGTGTCATAAATTCAATGCTTTTGCTTCTAATAGGATTGCTTATTGCATGCACTTGACATCCATGATGCATTGCGTCAAATCATCATTAAAAAACTTTGCTGTCTTTGTTTTTTCTCATCTTTTCACATAAAATACTGTGCTAACAGCGGCAATGTGATTGTCGTTACTGCCTAAAATTTTGTGATAGTTCTGAGCTTCAAATGACCTTGATGACTTCTTTTCTTCCCATATTTTAAAAATTATTGTTTTGCAAACGTATAAGAATCCTCTATTAGGTTGAACCAAAATTCTGTCGCACCAACCTGTTTCACAAAATCGTAGCTTCTTTCTGTCAGGATAGTCTTGCACGGAAAAAGATAGAGAGAAGGGATAGCTTATGTACTTTCTAACGACTGCTTGTCTGCTTTCTTCTATGCTCTGTTCGAAGAAATAAAAATGGGAAAAGAAAATCACTTCAGGTTCGGCCCGTTAAAGATTCCAAAACTGTACCATAGGATCCAAAACAACCGAATCAAGGTTTTTTTACCTCTTTTTCTAGCTGAACAAAATTCGCGCTGATCGAGGTGTTCTCAAAAAGTTTTGATTTTCGAAAAAATATGCCAAAAATCAGCTTCTTAACAAAATCGATTTTTTTACATTTTTTCTCAAAAATCACAACTTTTCCAAAAGCAGCGTAACCAGAGCGAATTTTGCTCCATAGAAAGAGGGATCCAGAGAATCTAAGATGGCTATTCTGGATTTTATGGCACATTTTTTAAATTTTTTAACGGGCTTGCCTCAAAATTCCAAACCTATAGTGAGTTCAGTTTCCCATTTTTATCTCTGCGAACAGAGCATAAAAGAGAGCAGTCATTATAATGTGTCACTCTCTATAAAGAGTGCATGAACTACTTCTTTTCTTGATATTTTTTCCATGCAAGACTTTCGTAAAAGAATGAAGCTACGATTTTTTTAAAGCAGTGCGACAGAACTTTCGGGACAACCTAATAAATTTTTTTGTTAGAGTGGTTACTTACATCTCCACTCAAGCAGGAGAGATCATGTCCCTAACCCTCACCCCTAATCCCGCCAAAATAACTCAGTCATTGCTATCCTTGTAATTCAATATTGGCAGTCTTTACTCGTGTTGTGCCACTAAGCGATGGTAAAAGCGAATAAGATTTGGTGCAAGTTCAAATGGTCATCAGCACATTGTTTCGGGAGCAATGCATTTGATTTTTCAAAGATGTAAGTTTTTAATTTTTTGTAATCTTCGGAAAACATAACACTGAGACACTAATATTTCCACGCATCACAAAACTGGGTAATGAGTTTTTGAGATTCCCAGCAATCTACGCAAAGCTTTTGTAGTTTGCGCTGTCACAAAGTTGCTTGGTTTACTTGTATTAAGCTTACTTCTGCTCATGTGTAAGTCTTCCCTCACCATTATGAATTCTTTTTTATTCTCAAACAAGTAGGATTACGCTCAATTTGCTAATATATATTTATATTATATGCCAATTTCGATGGCTTATATTTGCAGTCATAAAACAAAATATCGAAACGGAATATCGTGTATGAATCCCTCTTTGATATTTGTAGTTTCTTTCGGCATCCTGATTGGATTTTTACTTTTTTTGTTTGCCACTCAAGAGCACATTCAAAAGTTCCTCCCAGTCGTATTGAAGCAAGTAAAGGTAAATCGAGTACACTCTGGCTTTCCCTCATACACCCAGTTTCTTTCAGATCAACTGTACATCGTTTCTCAATGAAATTGATCCACCCTACCCTGCTATACTGATCGATACCGATATTCTCGAAGCTATTAAGGAAGATAACTGCAGTGTGGTGCCTAGAAAGATCAGAGTAGGAGTAGACATTGGATATGCAGATGCTGTAAAACACGTGATATCTTCTCGGTACGACACTGTACTCTTTGAGAATTCTATGGAAAAGGACTATCTGCGGTTCTTCGACAGAGATATTCGGATCATACCAAGGTGAGTTCTTCACGTCTGTTAGTGCGCGCAAAGCTTTCTCGTTCTTGGGAGCTTCGGAGGCATACGCGATTTTCGTCGTCTCGCTATTTCCCCAACCAGACAACTGTTACCAGTTCATTGCGTGCCGATTATCTTGCAATTCGATTGTGATAGTTTAACAAACGACTAGTGGCGGCTAACTGTCACGACCGATATGCAATATGACTAACATGCAATGGACTCGTAACAGTTGTCTTGTTGACCGTGTGACGTAAGCCGTGCCTTTACGGTACACCTCACGCGTGTCGCTGCGCGATCTGGCACTGCAACCACTCTTCATAATGGGCCGTCAGCGCGCTTTGCTTGGGCAAGACTTGGTACTTTTGAGACAGATTACAGAAGCTACGCGCCTATGCATTTGAGACCCGTAAACGATTATCAGTAGATATCTGACAAATTGTCAAGTTGCGTGGATGGCGATCTGACGGTGAGTATGTCTTAAGCATCGGTCATGCCTCATGCATTTTCGGTCGTCGCGCGATTAGCATTGCTACGATGCTCAAAATCTTCTTACTTTCGTCAATCAAGATTCGAGAGGGTTGCATCAAATCAATTTAATGTGAGCGCATTCGAGGGTTGCGAGCAGGGGTTATCAACATTCACCAAGCCAATTACTTTGCTGTGCCGTATACAGGTTGTTAATGGTGATACAACTTTATTGCCTGACGTTTCGGCAGGACGCCGTCTTCAGAGGCTGAAAAGGTGTCAGTTATAGTGATACACGTTCTGAGCCGCCACTAGTCGGCACAGCAAAGTAATTGGAATTGTTCATACCAAAAGAAACCATGCCCAGGTTCAAAGATAAGAGGACTTACAAGATTCACCAAGCCGCCCAGCGAAAGCGATTTTTCGCAATCGCGCGAGGTAGAACAAGGCTTAGAGCCAACTGTTGCAAAGTATGCGACTAGCGCTTTGCGGATAATAGAGCTGCCATTGTGCTCCTAGATTTTGCGCCTTCCTCCGGCAGTAGGCTCCAGCCCAGATCTTAAAAGGGAAGATTACCCACTGAAGTTGGCGATTGTCACTGTATATTACAAGACGCGTTTTTGAATCCTTATGTCCTTAATTGTTCTAGTAGAGCTTTCTGCTGATTTTATGCCATCTAGAGCTTGACAAATTTGGACTTCCAAATGCACATAACTTCTTCGCAGAGCTATATTGCAAAAAAAAGAGCAGATTGCAATCAGCGTTCAAAGACGCATCTAGTGATATACAACTCGTCTTCAACAGCCAATTCAAGTTGGTAGCCTTCCCTAGTTTATGAAATTTTTGTGGTACTGGAACTCCATAAATGAGCATCAAGCCCTTCAACTTGTACTGATTTGTCCTACAACACTCGCTTTAGACATGCACGGTCCTCGTACTTTCTTCAAAGGCTGCATCCATGAGTTCGCGTGCAAAAAATCAGCCAGCTAATTTCTCAGACGGTCCGGTTCTACAAACACATCTGTCCACCTCCTTGGTGATCTTCATCGAGCACGTTTTGCACAGTTTCGGCGAGATTGTGTCGCCCTGCCAAACTCCCTTAAATTTTGAGAGGTCAGGAAAGATGAATATTCACATCGTCGTTGTAAATCCTTGTAGCAGACGGCTAATGTCTTCACATAACTAAGTCCACTGCTTGTTCAACTAGCAGTGACAGATTAGCGTTGGCTTCTCATACAATCATGTTTTAGCGAATTAGCATTTACTTAAAGCTGGACCACTCAGTTTCGTTAACATAAGAACAAAAACATCTTTGTATAAAACTTGTCCTCAACGCTCAACAAGCATATTGGACGGTAGTCCCGAAGATCCACCCGCCTACCCTTCTTTAAGAGAAGGCATTTTATGATGTCCTCTACTGGTCAGCAATCCTTTCCTTCTGAATATGAGATGCTAAATGCGAGCGAGAGAACTTGTCCTCTGGCTCGTAGAAATTCGACGAAAAGGTGATCCGGGTTTGAGTTAAGGTCGCCTTCACGTATGGGGACCGGTTAGGAGGTACGGCGCGAATTTTTCGCGGAGCGACGCCGCAACGTAATTCAGCCCTTACAACAGCAGCGGTCCTGGAGCCATCTTACTTATAGCATTAAATCATGCATCTCTCCTCATCCTCACCCTCCTGTTTTTGTCGCCGGGAATCTCTATTGGCGGAGAGTCTTGGAGACCCCAAGATTTGAACGCGGCGTGTGCGGAAGAGCGGCCGCCGCGCGCAGCGTACCTCCTGACGTGCAGCCTTCACGTATGGATTGCGGTGCGCATTTTAGCAGGCAAAATCGTAGTGGTGCTGTTCCAGTCGGAACAATGGTCATCAGGGTGTTGATGAGCGAAAGAGTCTGAAGTGAATTTTCCGACACTTTTCCGTTATCCGGACCCATTTTTTCAAAAGATCTCATGAATTACGCTATTGGTTTGGAAACGATTCTTCATAAATTCTACGAAAACAGCCTCAGCCACGAGTCAAGAAAGAATTTGACTAATTTTGGTCCAGTTTGACATCTTTTTTCTAGAACATTTCCCGTCAGCTAAAAGAGCACTCACTTAAAAGCTGTTTGACATTGATTTTGATAATAGCAGAGCAACTTAGAATTTATATGAGAACATTCGTTGTTCACAGCAATGATTCAAAATTGCCTTTTTTCGAATTCTGTCCGCCGTGCGAATTTAGCCAGGAAATATTATAAATGATGGCTTAAAATGCCTCGCTACTGCTTGCTTTTCCGTTTAGACGATAAAAATCTAGCTCATTTCTCTATTCTGCTCAAGTGCAACCTGTTCATTGATATTAGGGTAACGTTGTTATTAATAACATTGATTTTTGATTTTATTTTATTGAAAATGCAAAAAAATGAACAACTGAACTTACGCCATTAGGTATGGCAACACAAACTAATGGTAAAACCTGCTAAACATGGAGTTGAAATGTCGAATTTTTTACACATGGCAGAACGTTGTTGACACTCCTTCCTGTGAAGTTGAGACCTAATCTCTACAAAAAAAGAAGTAATATCCTTTATTGAAAAATTGGGTTCGGATGACGGGAAAGTACCGACTTTTTTTGCAATACACTCTTTTTCGGAAGTGAGCCAAGGTTTTATCTCTGTTAAAGAGTGCTGTCATCGGTACGTGATATTCACAAAAGTTCCTTCAGCACTTCTTTGAACTGTCTAACTAGCGCATTAGTCGCTTAGATGGAATGCACTCCACAAAGCGATCCCCATGTCCAATGTCGTAGTTGTTCTTCATGAAGACAGATTTTTCATGGAATAGTCGTGCTGCAAAGATGAGCCAAACTAAACTATTGTTTTCGTTCCCGATCCCACATCCGAATTTGCCGATTGACATCCCGATTTTCGCGTTGAAGTCGCCCACAACAAACTTGTAGAAGGACTTCCTGTTGTGACGACCTCTGTTAATTCATCAAATGCTGATGTGGGGGAGCAACAGTTGATGATGTTAGTGGTCATCTGACATGGAAGCGTTGATGTTGGAAGGCCAGGGAGAGGATACGATCTCATTGCGGCAAGATGGGCGATGGATGGACCACAGAGCCACCACTCCCATGCTCGAATGATGAGGGTTGGGTCCCATCACGTAATCGTTGCATGTCCCTCTTCCTGGCCTTCGTTCTATACAGAGCGATGACGTGAGCGTGGTCGGTGTTTGCAGAGACTGTCAGGGGTTGTAAGTGTAGAGCATACGGCAATCTGCCTGGTGTGTCCATATGCGTAGTTTTTGTCTATCCAAATGTCATGGGTCTGAGCAGCCTCTTATCGGTCTTGTTACCACCCAGCGCCGCATGAATTCGGTGTGCACGGTCTCTTCGAGCAGACTCACCAAGTCGTTCTCTGCCTTCCACGGAACATTCCTCACCCTGAAATGTGGTGAGAAGCGTGGCGATCTTCACCTAAAGCCAGACGAAGGAGGATCTGGTTCAATCCGCTCTTAGCTAGGCATAAGCCGAAACCGAAGTCGTAGTTCACAGCTTGAGATACCCCTGACAAGAATACACCCGACTGTACCACGCCCCGTTAGACGGCGACAGATGTAATCGAATTTTTGAGTGTTTTACGGATCGAGCATATTGTAACAAAAAAAGATAAATTCGGAACGCGACGAAAGTTCAAAAATACAATCACCAAGATTCCGTCCAACGGATCGACTGTTTGCGAGCACGCCATGTGCGATGGAACGATTGGGTACAAATCATAAGTTTACAAGTCGTGCTGCTTGGCCAAGCGTTGCGTCTTCTCTTGGCCAACTTGTGCGATTGAATGTTGCCTAATCTATAAATGACGTCAACTTGCAAGCTGGTGCAATAAACGAGGGCTGCCCGTTATTTTTGAGTGTCAATATCGCAGGCGCCGCGCGCGGCAAGTTGGCAGTACGCGAAACTGGCCAGCATAAGTCGCAATGCAAGATTTTCATCCTTAGTTGAGGTTCACAAGGTATCTTTGTATTAGTTTATAATATCACTAGCTGGCTTACCCGGCTCCGCCGTATCCGGACCAAACTTGGCACACATACACTTCGGGCCCCGGCGGGTGTCACAGTCCACTTTTCGTTATCGATCGATGTCGATTTTACCGATTTTTATCGATTTTTTGCAGAGTTCACCTACAGGGCTAGGAGTTGGCACAGGGGGGGAAGTGAGCATGGGGATTCCGAATACAATATTAGTTTTCAGAATTATCGATTACTTTTATTGATTTTATCGATTTTTTGTAAATTTTGACATGCGAGGCTGGGATTTTGCACAGGGGGGTAATCGAGCATGCTGATTACGAACACAATATTAGTTTTCAGGATCGTCCATTACTTTTATCGATTTTATCGATTTTTTTGTAAAGTTTGACCTGCGGGGCTGGGAGTTTGCACAGGGGGTAATCGAGCATGCAGATTACGAATACAATATTAGTTTTCAAGATCGTCCATTACTTTTATCGATTTTATCGATTTTTTGAAAATTTGAGCTAGGG